CTGCCTGCCATGTGATTAAGGGCATGGGCTACCACCGCCTGACTGCTGTTCCTGGCTCGTTATGACCTCTGATCTCCAGGCAAACTTTATTTATTAACATTCAAATAAAATCACATTTCAGTGCAGTTAAAATATCACCACATTAGGCTTTTCGGGGGAGGGGCTCATTGAGACAGAGTTTCTCTGTGTAGCCTTGGCTGTCCTGGAATTCATTCTGTAGATCAGGCTGGCCTTGAACTCACAGAGATCCACCTGCCTGTGCCTCTTACATGCTAGGATTAAAGGCACACATCAGCACTGCCTGGGCTGGCTTTTATGTTTTTATTTAAATTTGATTGTGTGGTACTAGAGCCAGAACTTCATAGATGAGACCAAATCCTGCTTCGATGTCAGGAGGCAAGACATATCTGTACACTGCAGGTGTGAGCATCCCCACGATCCTTCACATTCGCGTGGACATCGTAGCTGCAAACTGAGGACCATTACTGGATGCTGCCGACCTGCAGGGCCTTGTCTGGAAGTGTTCCAAGCCGATCTCCCCAGAACGGCTTTGATTTAAAACAACAAATGGATCCATTTTGCCCATGGTCATCTCAAGTCTTAACGTCGCCCTCCCCGAGTCGGAGATACCTCGGGGACTCCGTGGGATAGGGGAGCTGGGCTAAGAACCCCCTGAGGCAGACAGGGGTCAGGGCCTTGGGCCTGGAGTTCCTCAGAGCATAGCTCTGATCATTTCTCTGCACTGCCAGGTGTGGTTCCAGAACCGCAGAGCCAAGTGGAGGAAGAGGGAGAAGTGTTGGGGCCGGAGCAGCGTCATGGCTGAGTACGGGCTCTACGGGGCCATGGTGCGGCACTCCATCCCCCTGCCGGAGTCCATCCTCAAGTCCGCCAAGGATGGCATCATGGACTCCTGTGCCCCGTGGCTGCTGGGTAAGAGCCCGCGCCCTCCTTGGGGCCCTGCCCCGGTGGTGAGGAGAGCGGGGCTCCCTGGGGGCGGGAACTGAGCACTGGGTAGGGAGACCTAGGGCGCAGTGGACCAATGGGAGAGAGGTCTTCCAAGCAGACGATCCCATCTTTCCGGGGCCATCCTTTGCACCTACGTCCCGGGTGTCCAGACTCCCATTCTGGAGTCACTGGCTTCTTTTGTCCTGTGAGGAGGATGTGGCCTTTTCCCTGAGTCTGTACTCCTTTCTCCCTGACTGAGAATGGGCTTACAGTGAACGAAATATCTCCCTTCGTGGGTTAAGGGGACTCCTATGTCCCTTGGGCCACCTCTCTAGTTCTGCCCAAGAACTTCTTTGCCCCAAACCTCCCCATCTGCCAGCTCTCAACTACCATCTAGGCATCAGCTTGTCTTGGGGGTCCTAAAACCTGGAATCCTTTGACAAAGGGCTAGGGGAGATGCCTTGAAGGGACAGGACAGGTTGGGGCTGTCCTCAAGCCTGAGGGTCTGGTGGAGAGGACTCTGCTGACGGCCTGGTCCCCGGCTGGTGGCCTGAAATTCTACCTACCCCCAGCAGGCCCCCTCCCACCCCAGACCTTGGTCCAGTTGTGGGACTTGACTGTGGAATGTGAAGAACGGCTTCTCTGCTCCTCCTTAATTCTGGCCTCTCTCTATCTTTGCCGTTTTCAGTTCAAGATGGCTTTCCCAGACGCTTTTCTAAACCCGAATACCAACAATTCTTTTTAGGGATGCACAAAAAGTCGCTGGAGGCAGCAGCTGAGTCGGGAAGGAAGCCTGAGGCGGAACGGCAGACGCTGCCCAAGCTTGACAAGATGGAGCAGGAGGAACGGGCCCCGGATGCCCAGGCAGCCATCTCCCAGGAGGAACTGAGGGAGAACAGCATTGCGGCCCTCCGAGCCAAAGCCCAGGAGCACAGCACCAAGGTCCTGGGGACTGTATCGGGGCCCGATGGCCCGGCCAGGAACGCGGAGAAGCCGGAAGAGGAGGAAGCCATGGACGAAGACAGGCCAGCAGAGAAGCTCAGCCCACCACAGCTGGAGGACATGGCTTAGGAGGACGCCGCTTAGGTGGAGAGGAGCTGGCTCTGGCACGCTGAGACTCTGCTCCTCTCTCTCGGGGCCTGTGGTGCAGGGAATCGTCTCCGAGGTCAGGCCAGGCCTGGCTTCTCCTCCCTACACCACAGGCCCTTGATTACCCCATCAACTCTAGACACAGGCCGGTTCTGGCCACAGCTCTGGACCATGCTGAGACATCCTGGACTGGCTCCTGACTTCATCTTCCTCTTGCTCATCCTCACAGCCTGCCTCTGGGGCCTTCTCAGCATCCCAACATCAAGGTCCTGCCGCCACTCCATCCCTTCCTTGGTGACTCTTGGTTGTCCAAGCCTACCCCTCACTCTCTGTTCCCTCCAGTCTCCCTTTGCAGCTCACACCCCTCGTGGATTCCACCAGCCCATGCCCGAAGCCTGTTGCTCCAAGCCCACGGCCTGACACAGCTGTGACCCGGACCCGCACACCAGCTCTGGTGTCCCGAGCCCCCCAGGACTCGGCAGGTCTGCTCCCTCTCCATCTGTTCCTTCTCCTCGCAGGCCTGGACCTGGGGTTCTGCTGTGTGAATATTGTTGCTCTGCTGGTCCATGGGTCACCTCTGCATCGTCTGCCCTCCCCACTGATGGCCGGATGCCAGACTAAACAGGGCAAAGTCTCAGACTGGGGCTCCCCCCTCCCGCGCCGCCCCATGCCATGCTGTGGCCCATCCTCAGGCCCTTGCTCACACCCAGCCTGCCCTATAGGTTCCTCCTTTGCAGAAGTGGGCAACACCACAGGTGTACAGGCCCTACACCCTGAGGGAGGGGACACTTCTCACCAACGCTGTGGCTCACTGTACTGCTGTGGAGCTCAAACCCTCACCCAGAGCTCTGGCACCCCCCTGGAGCCTGGGTTTCCAAAGCGTTCTGAATCTTCTGCCCATGACGTCGACCTGCTGTTTAAGGCTCCCTTCTGCTACAGCGTCTTACAGACCAGTGGTCTTCAACCTTCCTAGTGCTGTGCCCCTTCAACACAGTCCCTCGTGTGGTGGTGACCCCCCCCCCAACCATAAAGTGATTTTGTTGCCACTTCCTAACTGTCATGAACGGTAATGTAAATATCTGATATGCGACATCAGGGTGGGGCCGTGACCCACAGGTTGAGAACCTGTTGCAGCCTGTCGGTTCACATGTGCCTGCTTTGGAGGAACATGGCGCAGCTTGAAAGCCACAGACCCAGCTTCACCTTGACCTAGGCGTTCCTAAAAGGCCAAACCTAAAGCGGGCCTGGGCTAGGCATATGCATCAAGGGTGTGTGGTCAGGAAGGTGGAGGGGGAAATTCAAAGGAGAGCAAGGCAGGCAGCCGGTGAAAACCTACACCAAGCTGCAGGCACTCAAGCTTCGTGCCAGCTGTGTGCCCAGGAGCGTGGCCATAGGTGGGGAGCCATGCTGGACTGGGGGACTCCTGCCTGCAGAGGAGGAGAGCTGTCCACACTGATGGCCTCTCGGCAGACGTCCCTCTCCCGTCTTCATATTGGTCACGGGGCACACAGCCTTACGGAGTCCTCCGCTCCTGGATTCCCAGGCCGACCACAAGACCCCCTTCACCCTGTGAAGTTTGGCACCCCAGCCACCTGGGCCGGGGCTGCTTCACGAGGAAGGCCAGAGACACTGAGTGGCGATTTTAAATCTGTTTTGACGGTTGGTTTCTTCTTCATAGAACGTTCCTCTTCTTCATAGAACGTTCCTGCTTCCAAGTTCTTATCTTCTTGACCGGGTTGAGATGCTAGATTCCAGCCTAACTGATGTAAATAATGTACATAGCGTGGAAAGGAAGAAACCGGATATTGAGGTGTTTGAAACACTGAACTGTCGTAACTTTTAGGTATTAAAAGCATAATTTCTGTGCTGTTTTCTGTAAAGACACGAGCAAGAATAAAATTCATGCAAAGAGTGCTGGAAACGGACCCAGGAGCCCTCTCCAGGCGGGCCAGTTGCTTGTGTGTGT